GAGAGAGAGAGAGAGAGAGAGAGAGAGAGAGAGAGAGAGAGAGAGAGAGAGCTCATACAAAATCATGAGGAAATGTAACACTTAAGAAAATAAATAAAAACGCTTTGTGTCTATGATGCGGCGACAATGGTGGTGGTGGTGGTGGTGGTGGTAGTAGTAGTGGTGGTGGCCGGTGATGGTGGTAGTAGTGGTAGTGTTGTTGGCGATAGTAGTAGTGGTGACAATGGTAATAGTGGTAGTGTTGGTGGCCGGTGATCAATAATACAACCCAACAATACTGGGGTTGATATGCGTGTTCGAGGAATTAAAAATAGCTAATGCAAGTCTCTTGGTGGCACGATGGCTAGTAGGTATCCCTCCATCCCTCCCTCATAAGCTTAAAGGTCAGAGGCTATATGGTGCTAACCTAACCTAACCTAACCTAACCTAACCTAACCTAACCTAACCTAACCTCGATATCACCTCATTATTATTATTCTCCGAAACTTAACCCCCATCCCGTCCCTCCTCCTCCTCCTCACCCCCCTCTTCAAACCCCATCCCGTCCCCCTCCTCCTCAATTCTATCTTCAACCCCATCCTGTCCCTCCTCCTCCTCCTCTCACCCCCTTCAACCCCCATCCTGTCCCCCTCCTCCTCCTCCCTCAATTCTCTTCAACCCCCATCCTGTCCTCCTCCTCCCTCCTCACCCCCTCTTCAACCCCCATCCCGTCCCCCTCCTCCCTCCCCTCACCCCCCCCCCTGAACCTGTCCCTCCTCCTCCCTCCCCTCACCCTCTTCCCCCTTCCCTCTCTCCCCCTCTTTCCCTCCAGGGCTGTGTTGTTGCTCTGAGTCTGTCATCTGGTCTGTTCTGTCTGTCTGCCTCTAGCTGGGTTTTGTCTTTGGTTTTCGTGCACAGACAAGAGTTACAGACACTGGACTGTCCCCTGGTAACCGTCAAGCCTCAGCCATATATACACACACTAGTCAACCAATGACGTCAGGGCCATGTGAAACCTGCGGGTCATAGATCACAGACAGACCCTCGAGATAGGAGGCATATTCTCTCTCTCTCTCTCTCCTCTCCCTCTCCTCTCTCCAATCTCTCTTCCCTCTCCTCCTCTCTTCTCACCTCTCATCCCCCACCTCCCCAGCTCTCCTTTCTCCTCCCCACCCAACATGACCGGATATTTGTGACCTACTTTGAGTTGAATGCTTACAAGAACCTAATATCTCTCTCTCTCACAAACAAAGTCAAATCCCAGCCAAATCATTATCATTCTTTTTTAGGTCATATTGTATAAGACCTGAAGGTCAAAGGGCAATCAGCTTGTGACACGTTACCTGGGCGAGAACCTCACTCAGGTGTGGTCTGTATAGGAGTAATTATGGTATAATTGGTTTAGGTTAAGTTAGGTTAATGTTGTTAGGTTAGGTTAGACGGTACACTTTAATGTTATTGTGTATGTTAAGGTTAGGTTAGGTTAGGTTAGGTTAGGTTGTGTTAGGTTAGGTTAGACGGTACACTTTTAATGTTATTGTGTCTATGTTGTTGCTAGTTAGTTAGGTTAGGTTAGGTTAGGTTTATAAGCTAGACGGTACACTTTAATGTTATTGTGTATGTTAAGGTTAGGTTAGGTTAGGTTAGGTTAGGTTAGGTTAGGTTAGGTTAGACGGTACACTTTAATGTTATTGTGTCTATGTTAAGGTTAGGTTATAAGGTACAATTTCTTGTTATTGTCTATGTTAAGGTACCGTTCTTTTGTTATTGTCACCACACGGAAGTAATTTTATGCTTGTCTTTTTTATGTTTCTTTAAGAATAAAAAAAAAACAATGAGAGAAAGCCAAAATAAAGAGACGAAAATAGGAGACAGACAGACAGACAAACACAGACAGACAGACAGAAAACACGACCAGAATTAAGAGTCATTCAATGCTCTCACTCTCACAACCCGTACATAATCTCTTAGAACTCACCTGCACATTTGACAAAAAAAGAAATTGGAATATATTCATTTGCAGTATTCACCATGAGGTCAAGAGGGTGGTAGCTGAAATGTTGCAGCTGTATTTTGTGCAATATTTAAGGGTTTATGCAATATCTGAAGCCTAAGGGAAATACTCACCTACGGCTTCACTTAAACCTGGTCATATTTCTGTCGTTGTTTTGTCATTAGTGAAGTGAGTCAGTCAGGTGTGTATGTGTGTGTGTATTAACTGAGTTTCTTTAACTGAGACCTGCTGAGTGGTTCCATTGATCGAGGCTAACGAGGTGGGTATATTAATTGGGTGGGTACACTAACTGGATGGGTACGTTAACTGGCTGGGTGGGTACATTAACTGGGTGGGTACGTTAACTGACTGGGTACATTAACTGGATGGGTACATTAATTGGGTGGGTACACTAACTGGATGGGTACGTTAACTGGGTGGGTACATTAACTGGGTGGGTACATTAACTGGGCCCTCTGTGTCAGTCTCCTATGAACAGAACTTCCTGGCCCACAGAAGTCACGTCCCTGGTAATTAAATATATTTATGTCTTCTCCATGTGAGGGGAGAACTGCATTGTTTTCCTAGGTTTTCTTTCTTTCTTTCTTTCTTTTTCTTTCTTTCTTTTTCTTCCTTCTTTTTTGTGTCTTTCTTTTTTCTCTCCTTTTTTTTTATTTTTTTTTATTTTTCATTCTTAAGTTCATTCATATTTTATTTTAGTGTTTATTTGTTTTTCTTACATGTATAATTTTCTTTCTTTCTTTCTTTTTCTGTCATTCAATCTTTCTTTATTTCTCTCATTCTTTTTCTTTCTTTCTTTCTTTCTTTCTTTCTTTCTTTCTTTCTTTCTTTCTTTCTTCTATTGCCCCTTTTAGTATTACACGAAGTCAAACGTCAAACAAACCTTAAAAAAAAACCCCACAATATCGGTATTTTTAACTCTCGTCTAATGTGTGTGTTTACAGAGGTCGACGTCTCCCTCACCTGTGTCTTAAAGTCCAGTACTTAATACATTCCTCTGTGTTTTGTGACGTGTGTGTGTGTGTGTCTGTCATGAATTATAGGGAGTAATTATAGTGTCAAGAGTTCTTCATACACGTATTCTTATTCACATTCTGGCTATTCTTCCCCTTCCTCATTCTTCTTCTTCTTCTTCTTTAATGCAATGTTCCTTCCTCGTTATATTTCTCTTCTCACTCTCGATGTATCTCTTCTATCCTTCTTTCCATATGTTTCTTCCCTCTCTCTCCCTCTACTTCTCTTCGTTTTGCTCCCTTAGTTATTCCCACTGTCTATCACTCCTCCTCCTCTCCTTGTCTTTCTCTCTTCCCTCTCTTCTACCTCTCTTGGCTATACTCTTCTCTCTCCACATCCTCCTCTCCACCTCCTCCTCTCAATTCGCTTTCCTCTCCTCTTCACCATCACACCTGTCCCTCAGTCTACCTCATTCAGTCTCTCAACAACCATCCAAAAATTAATTTGTCTTTGCTGGAAGGAGGAGAAGGAGGGGGAGGAGGTGAAGGACACACCCGAATCAGGCATTTACACAACCAAATTTAAGATCCATATTTTCTCATTTTCCCTCGATTCATAATTGGTTTTGTGGGTAATGAAGCGTACCTGAAGCATACTAGTGTACCTGATTCATAAAAGAGCTCATTGTAAAGCAGTCATCTCACCCTTCTAAGGGGAGAAACTTAATCTAATCTAGGGGGAAAAAATGACTGTGTGACTGTAGCTTCAGGAAGATAGGGACTTAATGATACGTATCTAAGGGGACCAAATTGTATCTGTTTTAGGATATTTACAATGTTCTTCCCTCATTGTAAGGAAGTCGTGGTTACTTCACAGGAGAGACGTTACTGAGATGGAAGGAGTGAGTGAGTACTAACAGGTACAGGATGTGTAGTTCACTCAGCCAACATTTAGGTTAGGAGTGGTGCATGTGACGGGGGCTTACACCGTGAAGTGATACACCCAGTATGGAGGTCCTCTTGACAGCTTTATGACCACAGCGGGACGTCTTGGCTCTCCTAGATCAATAACACATTGGCATCATATGTCTGGAAGATTAGTTTGTTGTTGGTTTGTGGTGAGGCGAGGTGTGGTCGCCCAGTAGAATGTTGGTGTGGTGGTGTAAGAGGTAGTATGGTTATGTGGTGTGGTGGTGTAAGAGGTCGTGTGGTGTTGTGGAGTGATGGTGTGGTGGTGTGATGGTGTGGTAATGTTGTTATGTGATAATGTTGTGGTGTGATGGTGTGATAGTGTGGTGGTTTGTTGGTGTGGTGGAGTGGTTTGCCTCAAGGGAAATATTCAAAAGGAACTCGCAATCATTTGGGCAGAGTTAAAGCGAATTGACGCCCTCGCCGTGTTAGTGAACATACTGTTGATGAAACAAATATTTCTTAAAGATATTATTTTTTTTTCAGGAGAATAAAAGCGATAACTTTGGCCATAAATTAAAGAAATGTATATTTTAAAATGGGGCGAAAAACAATCCGAGAAGAGACAATATTAGACGATAAGGAAAAAATAGACACATGAAAGGGGCGAATATATTTCACTCTACATTCTATAAATATTGAGAACTTTAATATCACGCCGGATACAGGTGTGTAGAGCACCTATGATTTATCTGCATAAAATAAAAGTTTAATTACTAGTAATTCTAATCGGTTAATTTGAAATTGAGAATTCCCAGAACAAAATTTACCGCGAAATTCACTATTGCTTACTTGATTATGATAAATTTTGACTTTCAGGAAGTATTAATTGTTGACGATCAGTTCCCATTTGTATTATGTATGTTGTTATTATTTCACTTCCACACAAGTTAGTACTGTATAAAACATATCTGTTGGAGACTAAGTATTACTGTGTACTATACGATGACCTGTATACTATAGCACATGACAAAAATAAAGTTGGCCCCAGCAGCCAGACGCACAGACCTGCTGCCCCTGTGGTGACGCTGGCGAGGCTGCCTCTCCGCCTCCACCCGTCCTAAAACCATTTCCTCTTTTGTTACAGTGATCTAGTGAAGAGAAGGCGAACGCTACTTCTTCCGTGCCTGCGTCTGCTACCTGTGTGTGTGTGTGTCATTTCTGACTGCTAGCGTACCCTCGGTTCATGCCCTACCTCTGTGATTGGTCATACCCGTGGACCTCAACAACTCAGATCAAAAACAACTCAGCCCCGATAGTCCCTCCCAGAACGTGTAAAGTGCTTCTTCAGATATCAGTTAAATAAGTTGACACACGATCACAAAGGGTCCAACCTCCTTATCCTTCACCAAGACACTTCTTAGCTTCCAACACTCCATCTTTCTCCAAGAAAAGACTCCAACACTCAACGTCTTCATCATGTTTGGAATGCTGAATCCCGTCAGTGCTGTCACCAGTAAGCAATTTTATATTTGACTTTATCGTTTCAAATATTTTCGAATTTTCGGCATGACTCTGAGCTCCCCCCAGTGCAATCACTCTCCAAAGCACGTGCTTATATATATATATATATATATATATATATATATATATATATATATATATATATATATATATATATATATATATATATATATATATATATATATATATATATATATATATATATGTGTGTGTGTGTCCCGGTGATCATGCAGTTTATCATCCCATAAATTTGAGCTAATGGCAAGAGCATACATTTTCTTTATAATCCACCAATATATTAAGTATCTCCTCCACCACCCGCTGCACCGTTCACTCTGATGCTTGTTTATATATCACACTGCATCTATATTTTGACCTAGTCTTTGCAACGCCAGTACCTGACCTAGTTTCTCTAAGGCCATATATGTATTTTGACCAAATCTCTACAAAGCAAGTATTTGTAACCGTGTTCCAGTTACTATAAGGCCTGAGTCTGACCTTATTTTTCTGTAAGGTCATCAGTGTATTTGGAACTAAGTTCTCTAAGGCCATATTTGTACTTCACTCCTAATTTCCTGAAGGTCAATGCCAGCATATTGACCAAGTTTCTGAAAGGCCAGTACCTGACCTGGTTTCTGTAAGGCCATATATGTATTTTGACCCTAGATACTTCAAGGTCTATCACCTGAATCTTGACCAGGTTTCTGCAAGTCTAGTGTCTACCCTCATCCCTCTTACGGATATAAATGTGTTATGGGCCCATTCTTTCTCTTAAGGCCACAATACCTGACCTAGTTTCTCCCCAACAATGATTATGTATATCTATATATATACCCCGTTTTAATAAGGTCATCTATGTATATTTTTGTACCCAGTTTCAGTAGGTGTCAGTCCCTTGGCTCACCTCCTTCCCCCGCTCCCAGCACCGCGACAGTATTACCTGAGCGAGTGAGTGTGGTCTCGCTACCCGAGTGTTACCAATACAAACACTGGCTCAGGTTAATCATGCCATTTTGTTACATAATTTGGCATATATATGTTTTGCTTTAGGATTTATGTTTTGCTTTTCAAGACTTTTATAGTACCATACTTTACTATAAACTGTCAAGTATCATATAAAACATCTAGATTGTATATATCGTCGAAAAATGCATTAGTTGATAGCCTACAAGATTAGATATAGGCAGTAGTTCCACAAACATTAAGTATTTGCAAGTAAAGCTTCATTAGTTAGTTTCTATTCTATTGAGGAGAATCAAATCTATCAAAAACAAGAAAAAATTAGTTAGTGTTGAAATATATAACTGGGTGTAATATATTGCCGTGTGTCAATATCTCTGAGTCACATTATTCAGGAATTTTAAATATGTACGTTTTATCATTTTCCTCATCCCTTATGGTCAGGTTATGTCGAGTCGAGTATCTTAGTGACCAGCCTTGAGCCTTTATTTGAATATTAAGTCAAGAATAATAACATCACTGACCTCACAAAAACCTTGAATCAAACCCAGGATCTCGTATTATGATAACTGTGTCTATAGTATAATGGGATGAAGATATTCTTGTTCGTCCACCGTCGATTATAGCACACCACGTGACGGGAAGGAAAGACTTAATATATGAAAATAAAATCATCTATTGAGTTAAAGTAAAAAGAAAAATAATAAAAAAAATGAGGTTGAATTGTTTCATATTTTGGTGAGAAGAAACAATGACAGGAACCCTCTTTCCCCTCCCCCCCCCCACCATCCCCTTCACTCCCCCCACTACCCCCTTCAACCCCACCACCTCCCTTCACCCACCACCTCCCTTCCACCCACCACCTCCCTTCACCCTCCCCACCACCCCGACCTCCCACCACCCCCCACCACCCCGACCTCCCACCACCCACCACCACCCCGACCTCCTCCCCACCCCCACTGACCTCCCCACCACCCACGCTTCCAAAGAATTCCGCAGATTAAACAAACATTACGTCATCAGCTAATTCTCCATAATTATCTCCCTCGTCGTTCGTTAACTACTGTACCATCGACCAGTTGTACCGTAGATCTGTACCAGACAGAGACAAATTACCATCATTACTATATTAAGTTTTTTCTTCCTTCGAATCTAAACTTCTCTTAAAGGAATCAATTTGTCACTCATTCGTATAAGATTTTTAGTGTAGTTTATGGCATTCGATTTATTTAATTTTACATCTGTCAAGAACTTTATTAAACATGAGAAAAAAAATCTCATCCAACAAAAGAAACGTTACATGTTAAGTGAACTCAATTTCTAGGGTATTTAATAACGTATGGTATTAAAGTATTTGTAAATGTCCTGTTTTTACCTTCAAGAACACCTGTGCCAGTGAGTATTAAGATTACTGCAACCTGCATACTTGTACAGCCTCCATATCATCATTCTCCATTTAAGCTTCCCGCCGGACACACTGTCGTCACAACACAGCGAACATGTAAACAACTCTAAGGCTATGTCTCATGTGTGAGCGTCCTGTGGCATCGAGCGACCAGGGCGTAAACACGCTACCTACTTTCCTAAGCCACCTGTGTCCCACCTACCAGCGTCTTGTCAGCGTAAATATGCTTTTTATGCATCGCAGACGTTCGCTGGAAATTTTTGAAAATGATGGTTTTAAACGTGCGGTACCTACAGAGGTACACAGGAAAAATTATCCCATATATCAGAGGATGATTCTGAATGGAAGTAGGCGAATTTTACCATCTCTACAAGGAACTTCGCCAAGATCCAAAGGAGTTTAACGAGTACGCCAGAATGTATTCTGATTGGGGACGAGGAATGCGCTGAGCAAAAAAAAAATATATATAATTTTTAATTCCAGATTGTCACGTGCCAGGTGTTTTGTAAAGTATGAATTTGGAATTTGGAAAAGTAAATGGAGAATTTTAAATAAAGCTATTGAAATAAAGATAGATACTGCTGTTGACATTGCAAAGTGTGCTACACTTTTCCATCATATCATCATTGACACAGAGGGTATGGGCGCAGTCCTTTGCAATTCAAGAATGTACAGTTGAGGATAACACCGCGCCCTCTAAAATAAACAATGCTTCACATTCTTCTACACATTATGTGAGAGAAACATTTTGCAGCTACTTTAATAGTCCACAAAGATCTATTTCTTGGCAAGATCAAGCTGTTAACAGCGGAAAATTAAAGTATAAACTTCTTTCGTTTTGCTGTAGAATGCGAGGACTCGCGCGACTGAGAAAGCGACGATCAAAATATTTTATAGCTGCTTCCAGGTCGCGCGTTTAGTTCCCGCTTGCTGGTCGCTACGCTGAGGTAGCACGTCCACTCGTGTGGACGATCGCACATGGGACATAGTCTTAGAGTGAATTCCGTCGATTCTTACCTCTTTGATTTATTGAATCTTACACACTAGCTGCTTCTTGTCAACAAACTGTGAACTAAAACAACCTACAAAAAGCAAAAACAAATCCATACAAATATATACAAAGTGTTTTATCCAGTTCCTCACACTGGATGTCAGGTTTTGCATGCGCCACTCTGGCCAGCTGCATCAACTCAAAAAAGCTTATAAATTCTGAAGTATATAATATGAGCATGCAGGTTCTCCACCATCAGCACGGGTCTACTGCTCACGGCGACTCGAGCATCAGTGCACGATGCTACCAATGGCTGCTACCTGCTTTAATCTTAAGATATTACACTATTGATAGCTTAATTATAACATCATTAATATCTTAAAGAAGACACGAGCTCGGGGTTGGTAAGCCAAAGAAAGCACTTGGTGCCTGCGGCCAGGAAGCAGTGACTGCATTAGCCTTGAGAGTCACTTCAGAATCTTAGGAAGAACCTAATTATCAATGGCTAACCTGAGCTCAAAGGATCCTGAGATAGGCCCTTGGCTGCTGAAGAACCTGAAGAAGGTCTCTAATGTGAAGCCTTCTCTGGGAAGATGTGCGAGGCGAGGGAGAGTTACACATGAGACTCACCTAAGTTATAAGAACGAGTTTATCTCTTAAGTTGGGTATAGAGTCATAATCACTGTAGGTCCTTCTGGTGCTCAACATCCTCTGATACTTGATGGACCACTCGTCTATTAACTACACAGGTTATTATCTATTTCTTGTTTACTTTTATACAATCGAGGCTGCTCTAAAAAGTGTGACTTATTAAAACTATCCATTGTTAACATGATGCATACAGGGAGAGTCTTACCTCGGAGTCTACTAAGTGAGCATTATCAATCTACAGTGTGTGATTTGTTAACTATTTCTTATTATGTAGAATATATTATTGTTATTATTATTGTTATTATTATTATTATTATTATTATTATTATTATTATTATTATTATCCTGTATTTTTTCTGTATTTTACATTAACAGTAACATGTACAGGTATTTTTTCTGCCAAATTATCTTATTTGTTTGCAGTTACAGTCATATAGGGAAATAATATTACACCATTAAGCAGGCGCATTGTTGGTGTTCTCGTGAGGATCAAACTTCTGGCTTAATCACCCTAACTTAAGCCTGACGTCAGAAATTACCGAGTCAATTACTAGAGTGGCAACCAAGTACGTAATTTTGGGTTACGAGAAGATGATGTGGAATTATATTACAGGTGTGTTAAGGTAGGTTATGCTTAATGGTGGTGGTGGGTCTAATGCTGTCAAAATATAGAGAATATTCGAAGCTTAATGGATTTATTTTTTTTACGAATTTTAACTCTCTCTCTCTCTCTCTCTCTCTCTCTCTCTCTCTCTCTCTCCCCTTCATCCTTTTCCTCGTATGTTACTTAATCCCTTTCATTTTTCTCTCCCATATTCCCCCTTATTCATTTGTCCACCTGTCTCTCACTCATTCTCCCTTTCTCACCTGTCTCTCGCGCCTTCTGACTTCCAACCTCCACCTGGGCTGGTTGAGGTACACAGGCCACACCTCCTTCCATGTACTCCACCCGATAACTTTGTACGTAATTATGTAGTGAGTTTAT